GTGCATTAATTGGCTGTTGATTGCTGGTGTTGACTTCTTAATGTGCAGTGCCTCGCAAACGTCAAGCCGTCTGCTATCGCTGTATCTATCGATGATTTCTGTGTTGTTTACTAGGATTTCTCTGGCGATGGTTTAGTTGTGGGAAGAGATTATATGTTCCTTAATGGAGCCCTGTTGCTCATGCATCGTTAAACGCCTAGAAAGAGATGTTGTTGTCTTGCCTATATACTGTTTTTTTTGGAGCTTACAGTCCCCAAGTGGGCATTTGAAGGCATAGACGACGTTGGTCTCTTTCAAAGCGTTCTGCTTTGTGTCTGGAGAGTTTCTCATGAGTAGGCTGGCCGGTTTTTTGGTTTTATAGTAAATCGTCAGTTGTATCTTCTGATTTTTGTCTGTAGGGATAACGTTTCTATTAACAATATCTTTCAGGACCCTTTCCTCCGTTTTATGAGCTGTGGAAAAGAAGTTCCTGTAAAATAGTCTAATAGAGGGTATAGGTGTTGTGTTAGTTGTCTCTTCAGAGGTTGCATGGCGTTTCACTTTCCTTCTTATGATGTCTTCAACGAAACCATTGGAGAAGCCGTTGTTGAGTAGGACCTGCCATACCCTACAGAGTTCTTCGTCGACTTGCTTCAATTCTGAGCTGTGGCTGAGAGCACGGTCGACATAAGCATTAACAACACTCCTCTTGTACCTGTCTGGGAAGTCACTGTTGGCATTCAGGCACATTCCTATGTTTGTTTCCTTAGTGTAGACTGCAGTGTGGAAACCTCCGCTCCTTTCCATGACGGTTACATCTAGAAAGGGCAGCTTCCCATCCTTCTCCATCTCGTAAGTGAAACGCAACACAGAATTCTGCTCAAATGCCTCCTTCAGCTCCTGCAGATGTCTGACATCAGGTACCTGTGTAAAAATGTCGTCAACATACCTGCAGTATATGGCCGGTTTCAAGTTCATGTTGACTAAGACTTTTTGCTCGATGGTACCCATGTAGAAGTTCGCAAACAGGACACCTAGGGGAGAACCCATGGCGACCCCACCTATTTGCTTATACATGTGCCCATCCGGGCTCAAGAAGGGTGCCTCTTTAGTACAAGCTTGGATTGTAGGAAACTACTCCTAAACTGTAGGAAACTTATATAGATGTCACGTCTGTGACGGGAAAAAAGTTTTTTCTTTTTTTAAACTGTGTTTTTCAAGTGTTTTTCATGTGCTTTTCATAGTAAGAAAATCTTCGAAATCTCTTTACCGATTGCTTTGAAATTTTCACACAACTTTGCATTCGAATAGAAGCGTGTTTTTATATACCTACAATATGCATGCCACACCTGTGACAGGAAAAAACGTGTTTTTTTTTTAAACAGAGCCATCTGTTAGACATAAGAGCAACACACACTGTAATCTCCGAAAGTTCTTCACAACGTTCCATTCAAATACGCGCGTGTTTATAAATACCGACGTTATAGATGCCACACCTGTGAGAGATAAAAACATGCTTATTTTGAAGAACAGCGCCATCTGTTGCACATAATAGCAATTCATGCTATACTAAATATGTTACGATTCCATTTAAATGTTTCCGATTGTATTGATTAATTTAATTTTCATAAATTTCAATTTCTTTTCATTTTGATTTAATTATTTTGTGTGACATTGCTTTGAAATTGAGCTGTGTTGTGTACCATTTCGTAAGCTTAAGTATAGATGGCACATCTGTGACAGGTAAAATCATAATTTTTTTTAAGAAACAGCACCAACTGTTGCACGTAAGAGCAACACTCGCAATCTATATAAATATAAATGGAAATGTTCGTTTGTTCATAATCGCTAATCTCCGAAAGTTCTTCGCCGATTGCTTTGAAATTTTCACACAACGTTGCATTCGTATAGGCGTGTGTTTTTATATACCAACTATATACATGCCTCACCTCTAACAGGATTTTTTTTTCTTAAAAGAGCGCCATCTGTTGGACGTAAGAGCAACACACGCTTTAATCTCTGAAAGTTCTTCACCAGTTGCTTTGAAATTTTGACACAACGTTCCATTCAAATATACGCATGTTTTATATACTTACTACATAGATGCCACATCTGTGACAAGTAGAAACATGCTTTTTTGAAAAACAGCGCCATCTGTTGCACGTAATAGCAACACACATACACACTATACTAAATCTGATCCCATTTCAATGTTTTCGATTGCATTGATAAATTGAATTTTCATAGATTACGATTTATTTTCATTTTGATTTAATTATTTTGTGTGACATTGCATTTGAATTGAGCTGTGATGTTTACCATACCGTTCATTTCGTAAGTATAAGTATAGGTGCCACCTATGACAGGTAAAAAGCATTCTTTTTTAAGCATCCGAGCAGGTTTTTATATACACACAATATAGATGTCACGTCTGTGATGTGAAAAGCGTGTTTTTTTTTTAACTGTGTTTTTCATGTGTTTTTCATGTGAGAGAAATCTTCAAAACCTCTTTACCGATTGCTTTGAAATTTTGACACAACGTTGCATTCAAATAGGAGCGTCTTTTTATATACCTACTTTATATATGCCTCACCAGTGACAGGATTTTTTTTTACGGGGGGGGGGGGGGAACAGCGCCATCTGTTGGACATAAAAGTAACACACACTGTAATCTCCGAAAGTTCTTCACCGATTGCTTTGAAATTTTGACACAACACTCCATTCGAATACGCACATGTTTTTATATACCTATTTTATAGATGCCACCCCTGTGGCAGGTAAAAACAGGCGTTTTTGAAAAACAGCACCAACTGTTGCATACAAAAGACCAACACATGCTATACTATATATGTTATGATTTCATTTCAATGTTTCCAATTTCATTGATAAATTGCATTTTCATAAATTTCGATTTATTTTCATTTTGATTTAATTATTTTGTGTGACATTGCGTTGGAATTGAGCTGTTTTGTTTACCATACCGTTCATTTCGTGAGTATAGTTTATTTTTTATATTTTTTCAATTTTTTGCATTTCGTTTTTTGAACTGTTTTTCTTATACTTCAATGATGGGAACAGCTGGGGCCAGATTCACGAAGCAGTTATGCAAGTACTTACAAACGTGTACCTCGTTCCTCAATCTTTGATGGCTTTGGTTACATTTATTAAACTGTTTACAAGCATGGAAACTTGCCAATCAACTGTTGTTATTGTTATAAACAGCCTCCTGGTGCTTCGGAGCTCATTAACTATTTAATAATTGTAAACAAAGCTGCCAAAGATTGAGAAAAGATGTACAGGTTCGTAAGTGTTTGTGTAACTTCTTCGTGAATCTAGCCCAGATCATTTGATGTTCCCAATTTTCGGATGGGAACATCAGATCATTTGATCATCAGACGAGGGAGTGGGGAATGGTGGGAAGGACGAGAGGACAGGAGTGCGGGATGGTGGGGAGGACGAAGGGATGGGGGAGGGGATAATGGTAGGGAGGACGAGGGGACGGAGGAGTGAGGAATGGTTGAGAGAACGAGGGGACTGGGGATTGGGGGAATGGTGGGGAGGACTGGAAAACAGGGGAGGGTTGCTGAGGCTCAGCAACGCACATGCGTTGCTGAGCCACAGCAACGCGTGGCCGGGTACAGCTAGTCAATATATAAATTGGAAAAAACTCAAAAATACAAATAATCTTAAAACAACGTTTATTAAAACAAAACTATTACAAGTGTAAATAAATAGGAACACTTCCTAAGCTGAACACAACCTAAACTTAAATATTCTCTAAGAGGCAGACATGAACTATCAACTATACCAAACTCTTAAGCACTTTACCGTAAAATATTCTAAGTTCAGCTACTGCTGCTCTGGCCTTCAGAGGTGAGATGGTGACCTCCCAGAGACTCGATCCACACTGGCCTGTTCTCTGCTAAAGACTGAGGCTAACTAATATCAATCCGCCACGCCTCCCAGGCTCATTAAATTACCAAGCAGGGTTTACAATGAACAAGCTAATTTAAGCTACTGGCCAACACAGACGTTTGAATTTTTATTTAAACTGACGGTAATTGTATAGGCATCTTGGCAAAAGCTATATCCCATTACAATATTGACTAATGACCTAAATTTATACTTTATGAATTAATAATATGAAAGGTTGTGGTATGCCAGACACCTGACCCTTGACCCCCGGTAGGTCACGAGACATCGCCCGACGAACTAGTACTTTCTAACTGACGTCACTTTCTCTGTGATGGTATACGAACCCTGATCTTTACTCCACAATCATGTTAGCCTAGCATACATACTTATTCCAGATTGGTTATTACTGTAATTACTGTATTTTTTTAACTATCCATTACTCGTTGAATTAATACAAGAGAGACAGCCATCTTGGAAATCTAAACGTTTTAATTCCTTTAATCTCTGGGAAGATGACCCATCGTCGCATCTCAGGTAAAAACTCTCTTCTCTTCAACTTGTGTGAGACCACGAGGGTCTCACACAATGTCTATGATCTGAGATTTTATCATTTCTTAGAAAACAAGCTTAATGTGTTACACTCATCCAGTCACCAGTCACATCCACCCTGTCACCAGTTAGACCCACCCAGTCACCAGTTTTTTTTTTTTTTTTTTTTTTTTTTTTTTTTTTTTTTTTTTTTTAGATATATACAAGAGTTGTTACATTCTTGTACAGCCACTAGTACGCGTAGCGTTTCGGGCAAGTCCTTAATCCTATGGTCCCTGGAATACGATCCCCTGCCGCGAAGAATCGTTTTTTCATCCAAGTACACATTTTACTGTTGCGTTAAACAGAGGCTACAGTTAAGGAATTGCGCCAAGTAAATCCTCCCCGGCCAGGATACGAACCCATGACATAGCGCTCGCGGAACGCCAGGCGAGTGTCTTACCACTACACCACGGAGACTGCCAGTTACACCCACCCAGTCACCAGTCACATCCACCCATTATTGTTCATATAACTTAACCTATTACATCCACGCAAATCTTTTAACAGGTGTAAAGTGTAATTGGTTGGTTAAATGTTGCAGGCAGTGAGTGAGTGAGTGAGTGTAGATGATGTTGGCGTCAAGACACTTACTGCGCCGTGTCAGCCCGTGGCTGGGCCTGAGGCTTAACTTACTGCCAGCGTCCAGGATTGTCTCCAGTAAGCTGTTGCATGCTTCCAGCACGTAAGTAAATTACAAGTTTTAAGTAAATTTACAAGTTTAAGCTTCTTTGCAGTTCATTTGTTATGAGCAAGAGCCACACCGTGAGTGGTGATGGAAGGGTTGTAGAGGCCCGTAATTGACTCAGGAAACTGAACCCTACTACTCCTTTAGCTAAGAAAATTACAAGAGTGATTAATTATTTAGAGAAGTTGTTGAGACACATAAGCAGGCAGTGTAACCTTTCAGGCGACATGACGTTCCTACCATGGGGCAGGGAACGGTTCTGGCGTGAAGGTCAAGACGTAGCAGGTATAAGACATCAAAGGTTATTATTTAGCTTTACCTTGCTCTTGTGAAGCCTCGCTTTACAGTATGCCGTTAGACTTTGGGCACCATACTATAGAATTTATAGATTCTTCATTAAGTGTATAGAGAAGGTTGGTAAATATAATGACAATGCTGATAAATGAAAAGTTCTGTCTTAAAAATTAAACTGTTTTTAAGTGTCAGATAAATAATGCATAAATTTCTTCATCAAATTATCAAGGTGATCTGTGTCATAATTAGTGGATCTCTCAAAAAGTAAACAATGCACAAATGTATGAAATAAAGCAAATAGAATGTTAGCATTTATGTCTCATGGAGTTAGTAAGGGTCTCTAATGTTGTCCTAACTCTAACTTGGCGTGTTGGCCCGTCTGAATTATGCAGTGCAGTTTAGGACGCAATATTATGTCATCAATTTAATTTATGTGGGAACCGATTCGTGAGATTTTTATTTATGTAATTTATATGAATTTATATAGAATTTATATTTACATTAATTTATATATTTCGATAGCAATTTGTATGATATTTAGCGGACTGTATTTCTACAATATTCTCACAAATCGATTGTTACACATTAGGGGGGTTTATATTAAATTTATATATATGCAGTCAATCAAACTACAGTATTAAACTATATATATTAGTAAATAAATTGAGGTGCCTTATCTTATTGTATGGTAGACCTAGTCCACCAGGTATTACTAGGATGTAGACACCAAATAATCCTCGTGTGAGGCTAGCTTCCAACACCCAAGTAACTGATGTACCAAGATTAATTCTTGCTTCCTCTTCTATTATTCCCGTGAAAGGGAACTAGCTGTAAACCCGGAATCCTAATATATGACAGCTATATCAGATGAAACACTGTATATTATATTAGATAAGGACCAAGGATTAATTACCTGAGTTGAGTCGTTGCCTCATGTCCTAACTGGAATTAATCATATGTACCTAACATTACTGGCCAATAATGACTTAAATAAGATTTTGGAAAGATACTTCCCTTGTGGTTGTTGACTGTGTGTTGATGATGGGAGAAGCACTAATTTGATCTCCATAACACTTCGTCCAAGAGAGAATTATAGGAGCTGAATTTGCTCCAGCGACTCGGTCTTTAAACAATGGCTGACCTCCCTCACCACTAACGCTCCTGGCTCTCTTTTTGTCCAGATGTCAGTATGTGGTAGAAGGGTCACATTTACTCTGTTTTGATACTGATAATTAAGTTAATTCAAATGAGATGTTTTTATGGTGTTAAAAGTCCAAAAGACTGCTGTATTAATAATAATTCCCAACAGAATAGCTGGTGAATTTATAGCACTATGTGGCAATGATATCCCGTTTTCTATTGACGGAAAATTCCACTACAAGTTACAGTTTCTAAGGGTTAACTTGTGTATACAACAGCAACAATATTATCTGCTTATTGTATTTAACATTAGTAAATGGTGTCAGGTTTTCCGACAATTTAAAGGGTTTAGAGAAGGATGACTAAGTTGACCTGACACATGACATGAATGTTGCTTGGAAGGTGACATGATCAGTACCTTAAGGGAAACCAAGTGCTTGGCAAATTACTTGACAAGTGCTCAATGGGTGACCGACCAAGTGGCCTGAGAAGCCTTTAGTAGGTAACCCGGTCAGTTCTAAGTGGATGGCCCGACTGGTGCTTGAAAGGTGGCAAGAGCTTGTTAAGTGACCTAATAAGATCTTGGTGGGAGGCCTAACAAGTGCTAAGTGGGTGACTTGAACTGGCAGGTGCTTGGTAGGTGACTTGACAAGTGCTTTAGTCGGGTTCCTGAACCTATTGGTCTCTATTAGGAGTCTGATAGAGTCTGATTACTCTATCAGGAGTCTGATTACTCCATCAGGTAAGGAGTCTGCCTTCACAACATCACTGCCTATACGTAGGCAGTCCCCTTGTTGTTCCCTTGTTTGCGTTCAACCGTGATAAATAGTTTGCCTTTATCTACGCTATCAATTCCACTGAGAATTGTATAATTGGATTGTATAATTGAAGATACAATAATTGAATTGTATCTTCATCACTTTACGCTTGTTAGTTAAACACGAACATTTGTTTGTTAGCCATTTGTTGGACCATTCCTTCAGTCTGTCCAGGTCATCCTGTATTGTCTCTTGTTCTCCTCCTTTGTCTTAATCCTTCTCATAATTTTAGCATTATCAGCAAACATTGAGAAGAATGAGTCTACATATACTCTTTGGAAGATCATTTACGTATATCAGGAACAGGATAGGTCAGAGTACAGAGGACTGTGGGACACTGCTGGTGACATCACGCAATTCTGAGGTCAAACTACTTACAGTAACTCTCAGCTTCCTGTTGGTTAGGCACTCCCTTATCCAGTGGAACACCTTACCAGTTACTACAGCCTGTTTCTCCAACTTATGCAACAGCCACTTATGGGGGACTTTATAAAAAACTTTCTGACACTCTCTGAAAATGCAGTCTGCCCATCCTTCTGTTTCTTGCTAAATGCTTGTTGTTTGGTCATAGAATACTATTAAACCTGCCAGACGCGATTTGTCATCCCTGAATCCATACTGGTGGTGTGTTAAAAAGTCCTTTTTCCAGTTGTACTACAATTCTTTTTCACGATCTTCTCCGTCACCTTACACGGTATGCAAATTATGGACACCAGCCTGTAGTTTAGGGCCTCCTGCCCATCACGCTTGTTGTATGTTGGGATAATAATAATAATAATAATAATGATAATAATAATTTATTTGAAAGATGATACAATGGGCTGGTGAGATTACATAAGATGAGTATTTTTTACATTCATGCAAACACCATTCCATAACACCAATACTATAGGGGATGACGTTAATTGTCTTCCAACTTTCTGGTAGGTCTCCTGTTTCCAGGGACTTGTTATACACCATAGAGAGTGGCACACTAGTGCTTCTGCCCCCCCCCCCCTCATTTGGCATCCATGATGAGATTCCATCAGGTCCACACAGCCATAGGCACATCCAGATACCTAATAACCTCATTTCTGGTAATTTCAGTATCTTCCAAGGTTGCTTGGTATATCGCAACCCCTCTTAGTTCAGGGACTTCTCCTTGCTCTGTTGTGAAGACCTCCTGGAAACTATGAGTTCTTCACACACCTCTTTGTCATTCTCTGTGTACCCATCCTCTCCTTTTCTCAGTTTAATCACCTGTTCTTTCACTGTTGTTTTCCTCAATTTCCTACACTTTCCTCCTATTTTCCTCACTTTCCTACAACTGTTTAGTAGCTGACTTGAAGAGGATTTGTGATGACCTTACAAGTATTTTGTATGTTAGCTGACAGGTGCGAGGATGGTGACCTAGCAAGGGCTTAGTGTGTGGATTAGGATGTAGCTTGTATGTGACCTGACAGGTACTTAGTGGGTGACCCCACAATTACTTGTTTGGTGAACTTACAAGTTCTTGGCAAGTGCTTGATGATAGGCCCCGATGGTGCAGTGTTAACACACTCAACACCCGCCTAGCCACCGATTTGGTCTAGTTCAAGTCCTGGCCAAAAAAGATTTTCTGGACGCCATTCATTAACTGTTCGCCTCTGTCCACCTATTGGTAAATGTTATTAACCGATTTAATACACTGTTGTTAATTGATTGAGTACACTGTTGTTAACCGACTGGTGGGTCTTGCTCCTGGGAAGACCAGTGGGCCTTACCCACTGGTTTTCCCAGGAGCAAGACCTGGGAAGACCAGTGGGTAAGGCCCACTATGACGTATGGGTAGGGTGTGCCCATACTCTGTGTGCCCACGCCAGTCAGATGCCAGCTTGGTGTTTGGTATGTGCTCTGGCAGACACTTGATGGATAACCGAGCAAGTGTTTGATAGGTGACCTGACAAGTGCTTAATGTGTGATCTAACAAGGGCTTACTGGGCAACATGAGAGGTGCCTGGGAGATAACCTGATAAAAGCTTGGTGGATGAATTTAGAATGTTTGGTATATGACCTGAGAATTACTTGGTTATTGGCCAGAAGTGTTTTGTGATTGAGCCACAAGTAGTTTATAGGGGACGTGAAAGTTGTGTGGTAGGAGTCGTGACAGATGCTTCGTAGGTGTCCTGACAACTGTTTGGTAGAGGGCATAACAAGAATTAATTAGTAGGTTACATGTCAGCATCTTGACACCTGACATACGCTTGTTGGGTGACCGGGCAAGTGATTGCCAGGTGAACATATCAGTTGTTGGTAGGTGACATGACAAGTGTTTGGTTACTAACCTGATAAGTGTTTTTCCGTGATCTAACACATCTTTGGTAAAAGACTTGACGGATCCTTTATGAGATACCGAAAAAGCGACACGACAAGTACTCACCTAGTTGTTCTTGCGGGGTTGAGCTTAGGCTCATTGGTCCCACCTCTCTACTATCAATCAACTGGTGAACAGATTCCTGAACCTACTGGTTTCTATCTACATTTGAAACTGTGTGTGGAGTCAGCCTCCACCACATCACTGCCTAATGTATTCCATTTCTTAACTACTCTGACACTGACAAAAATATTTATATGTCTCTGGCTCATTTGGGTACTCAGTTTCCACCTGTGTTTCCTTGTTCGTGTTCAGCCCATGCTAAATATTTTGTCTTTGTCCACCCTGTCAATTCCTTTGAGAATTGTGTAGGTGGTGATCATGTCTCCCTTAGCTCTTCTGTCTTCTAGTGA